GCTCCCCCCCCCCCCCCATTGATTCTTTTCATTCTTACACATACACACGGGCGTGCGAGTAAATAAACAGTAAATAGTAGTCCCTGCGACCAAAAGATTGAAGCACTATATGGGAGTGTGAGAACCGCCATTCATCGATGAAGGCTGAACAGTTAAGACCTCTGAGGGAAGAATTTTGACAGCCTTTGATCATGGCGTGGATGGGTATCACTTTTCATATATCACAACGGAACGGCTGGCCACGTGATTAGGAAGCTGAGTTCTCATACGGAGGACGAGGCTTCAACTCTTCGATAAAGATATGAAAGTTTCAAATAAATAAACAATAAAAATCCGCAAATGTTCAATTCGTGGATGCTGTACTAGTCATGCGGTCCTCAGGATCCAGATTGACTAGTCAATGCCATACTAAAAAAGTGGCAAATAGGGATCTGGCCAGATCAGATCATTGTTGCCTTTCTTCTTCTACTTTATCTTCTTAGCGCTCGCCGGCTGTAAACTCTGGCGGTAAGCTATGGTTGTCCGTCCACTGCTGGTCGTGTTCCAAACTTGAGTTTTGCTTGCACATTCGTTATACAGATCTAGCTATTTTTGTAAGCAGACTGTTGGTTCCTCTCCCCTCAGACAGACGCATTCAGAATTCTAAGGAAACACCCTTAATTAATCGACTTGTTCGACATGCCTAATAGGGAGCAGTGGGTCTATCCCCTATCCACCCAAAGTGGAGCTCATTAACCCCTATGATTGATGTGCGTAGGCTTAACATATTAACTGTAAGAATATGTACAAATCAGAGTTGTCTCGAGGTCCTGGTTTCAAACCCCTGTAAAGCTGGGATTTTTTCAGGTGGACTTCTAGTAATTGGTCATGGTCTCTAGGTAGTAAGACTGGACGCCCGGGCGTATTGTTGGGCGCGTAAAAAATCTATTGGCAGTTGGAAATCGAAAAGAATAGCCTAGCGGCGCTACCCGGGTAAAATTTGGAGTTACAAATCTATACAAAGTATTGCAGGATCCTCGCCGGTGCAATGGAGTTCTTGCACTGCGCAGAGAATATTCAGACTCAGGTTTGAGCATTTATGAGTTACACCTGTGAGCCACGATGTCGAACCGTTAAATAAACAAGCCGTAAAACACAGTTACCGGTTGAATGTTGAATTAAGAATCGACACCCCCATAAGCGTTCCGTCCCCATGTTCAGCAGCAAGCGAAGAGTTAAATAAAATTCCGATGGTACCAGTAACTGTCTGATTGTATATCAGTCTCGCCTTTTCCCCGAGCGTCGAGCGTCGGCCAGATCCCCTTGTAACTCTTCGCATTGTCATTCTTCTAAGACCGCAATGATCTGCCTGTGCCTCGGCACTATCCACCCGCTCCCAAAGAGCCCTCACAACATCCAGTTTGTCATACATCAGTTCACCACCAAGTGTGCAGAACCGGTCTGTCTCAAACTCAAACCTCAAAATAAATGACAGGGACATCAAAAGAGACGGCAGACTGCGGTACCTGGGAATGACTTTGACAGAAGGGGACGGAACGCGTATGGGAATGCCCCGAGTGCTGTGATGTTGACTCAACTCAACAACTCAACTAAGGCAAATAAAGGCAGCATCAACAGTCATTACACGTTAAAAGCTAGAAGGGAATGAACGGAACACAGGACACCCTGGTAGGCGGGAAAAGCTAAACTGGAAATAGAAGAAAAGAAAATGGCACGGAAGCAATCATTGGCAGCCAGGAACAATGGCGAAAAAAAAAAAAAACAGAAATATAAACAACGTGTGACACTTTCAGAACAGATACCAAATATGTAGTACTTAATGTAAAACAGAAATCATGGGAAGAATTTGGAGAAAAGCTGCAAGAGAATGCTGGAGAAAATCAAACACTATTTTATAAGACCCTACGAGGGGAAAAAAAAACAGAGTATCCGCTGAGATTTGTGAAAGACAATGAAGGGACCCTGCTTACTATTGCAAATGATATTACGAGCAGATGGAAAGAATACTTTTCAGAGCTCCTCTTAGTTGAGGAAAGTCATATACCAGAAGTAACGAATTAGAGAGAGAGAGAGAGAGAGAGAGAGAGAGAGAGAGAGAGAGAGAGAGAGAGAGAGAGAGAGATAAACCAATGAATTTAGATGAGAACATAAGGTTGGAGAAGTGAAGGCAGTTATTAAAAAGATTAGCTGGGAAAAACAGCTGCATATGATGATGTAACACCAAAGGTGGCAAAATATATGGAAGTCGTAGGAGAGCGACTTCTTTTGGAGGTTTTCCAGGCAGCCTGGTGTAGTAAGACTATACCAAAAGATTGGGAGATTTTCATCATTATGTTTATATTTAGAAAGAGTGATAACAGACAATATGAAAACCACAGAGGCATACCCCTCCTCAGCGTTAATGGAAAGATTTACTCTAGAATTCTCGAACACACTCATATGTCTGACGGAACCACAGCTGAATGAGGCCCAATAGATGCACCAATTTTTTTTTTTTTTTAAATCTGGAAAAAGCATTTGATAAGGTTCTCTGGAGCAAACTCTGGGACTATTTGGCAGGGAAGAACATTCCAGCACCCCTGATTAGTGCCATACAGAGTTTCTACAAAATCTTCAGGAATTGTGTAAGAACAGGAAATCAAAAGTCAGAAGAATTTAAGACCACTAGTGGTGTTAGACAAGGTGATATACTCTCACCTTACGTCTACATTCTTTTGATGGATGATGTCATCAAGACCTGTAAGGAGAAGACAAAGAAGTGGCAGAGCTGGCATTGCAGATGATATGGCCCTGATAGCTAAATCAGAGGCACAACTTTGATCTAACTTACTTGTCTGGAAGGTAACGCTTGAGAAGAGAGGGATGACCATCAGGGTCTCCAAAACTAAAACCCTGGTGATCTCAAGAGAGGAGAAGAAAGATCAGATCAAAATGGGACAAGATGCACTGTATCAGTTCAACCAGTTCAAATACCCTGGTCTCGAACAGCAGCACTTTGAACACTTTTTCCGTTTCTTTAAACCGGGATTTTCTCAGCAAAAGCTAAATTAGCAGGGGGACACAAATTTATGTATACCGTTTTATCTATGTGCTAGTCGAGAAATATAGGTGCGAGTCATGGGCAATGACAAATGCTCACAGTAGCTGGCTTCAGGCCTCAGTCATGAGGTGGTCCAAGTGACTAAGGGACTAAGTCTGCAATCAGACAAAACGCCATGACCTAGAAATCTAGACCCTGCAAACTCGAGTGGATCAGACACAGTTACGATGGTCTGGACATGAATGTAGAATGGTAGAGAGTTAGCCACTACGGCAGGCCAAGATGGAAGGCCAAGAAACTGGGAACCAGACCACCAGGGTGACCCAGGGTCCGCTGGGAAGACAAAATCCGACAGTCCCTGACTTATAGAGGACTGGAATCGAGCAAAACAAGAAAGAAAGCTGCGGATAAAGAAATTTAGCGATCTCTCTTGCAAGCCTTTACATCCCAAGATAGATGAGGATAAAATAAGGAAAAGTATTGTCTTTTACACTGAAAGGGATATAACTCGTATTTATTGTGTGTGTTTACATTTCATTCTTGATTTATTCCCCCTTCAAGAATGACATAGACAAATTGGGGAGCCACGAAACGGTCACGGAGTAACCTGTGTTGTTTTTCGATCACAAGTGATAAGGACCATTTCTTTTTTTTTATCCTTCATTAAACTATTGTTGATTACAATCCAGATAAACCCAATATAGGTTCGCAAGGATTAACTAGAATCTTCATTAATTAATTGCTTTTAATCAAGTTTCGTCCTTTTTAGGACGACATTTTTTGTAATTTGAAGCCCTATTCTGGCTTTTGCCAGGGGCCACAATATAGGCAGGCCATAAATATGGCCAATTGTCTGAACGCGGTTTCTGGGACCTCTCCAAGGCGATCCTCATCCACATGGTGGCAATTGTGCCATCGGGTGTTTATCGCTTGTGTGATGTCCTGGTGGGGTAGAGTGTCAGTCAGTCTTCGTTAATTTCAAGCCCCACCCTGGCTATTGTCAGGGGCTGCGATATAAGCTGATGGCTAAACGCCGTTTCCGGGACCTCTTCACTGGTGATCCTCATCCACATGGTGGCATTTTGTGTCACCGGGAAGTTATCGGACTGTGTGATGTCCTGGTGTGGTGAAATTTACTTAACTACCATATGGCAAGGATTAACTTCGTTCCATAGTAGGATGCAATTTTTCGCTGTTTTTCTTCTTCCCCACCCTGGCTGTTGCCAGGGGCCGTAAAATAACCTAACGGTTGAACGCGGTTTCTAGGATCTCTCCAGGGGTGATCCTCATCCGCATGGTTGCACTTTCGTGTCATCGGGTGTTTGTCACTGTGTGTTTTGTCCTGGTGGGGTTCAATTTACTTACTTACTTGGAAGGATCTATGACAGCAACAGCGTCTGTAGGTAAAGGACCAGTTTCACGGGTCTTTCTAACCTGTCTTCGCTGTTTTAGATGTCTGCCAAGTCTCTACCCCTCTTCGGATAATACGTTCGCTATATTGTTGATATCCCCGGCCATCATTTTACCTTCCTGTATCTCACCATACTAATTATGTTTGGAGGGAAAGGTGTGGAATTATACCACACAATAGCAACTCAGCTTTGAAAGCTCTGTACTACATGTTTGAAGTAACAAGTAATGGAATTAGTAGAGAAACAAGATTATTATGGCCTGGAGAGAATGAGGCATCTGAGTGTAACCTGAGGATTTGGCCGACTCGCTACCATCAGAGGAAAGGCGAGATGGGCTTATAACTAGATTGTGACCGGTACCATCAGTATGGGAACTCTGCACTGGTTGCTGAAGATGAGGACGAGCACGCATGGGAATGTCCCGAGTCCTGTGATGTCAATTCTTGGCTTAACTAACTAACATGTTTGAAGACGACTGAACTGAAAGGTGGCACTTTTTGAATTATCTTCAAGGGGAAGACACTCTACATTGATATCAGGAAAACAACATGGCTGGCATGGAACTGTTGTCCGACCAGGGCTATCGTTTAGATGGGAGAAAACCAAATGAGTTACGGAGAATTCTTTTTAAAAAGGGTATTTTCAAGCAGGCTGATGGATCGGCATATCTGGAACAGGGAAATACTAAGGTTTTGGCTGCAGTGTATGGACCTCATGAGGTATTTTATCTAGCATTCATTATTATACATTGCGCGTGTTTGAGTTTGCGTTTGTTTACTAATTACTTTATGAAGAGCTAGTAACTGACTGACTGTCTACCCCACCAGGACATCACACAAGCGATAATCACCCGAAGACACAATGTGCCACCCTGTGGGAGAGGTCCCGGAAACCGCTTCAGCCTTTAGGCCATATTTAAAATTATTTATGACCTAATGACCAGTGCGGCCCCTGGCAAGGGCCAGGGTCAGTGGGGCTTCAAATAACCGTAATAACGAAAAATTTCATCCTAAAAAGGACGAGAAGTATGATGATATAGAACAGCTAGTAGTATCGAGTGACAAGGGGTTTTATAGTGACTTGTACGGATATGCAAAAATTTAAGGGACCGCCATTCCCTCGCGTAACTACTAAGCGATCTCCATTTCCAGTAGAATTGTTTACAATCCCTAACAACGCACTGTCTATTAATATTATTGTGTATCTATCATTACATATTTACTATTTTAATATTCATTTTTTAAACCAAGAATACAATTGCAAATTTTTTTTTTTGAAATTTTGAGGATTTTTAATTTAATTGTAAGTTTATTTAATATTGTATATTCAAAATTTAATTGTAATTTTCGTAATTCTTTACGCTTTAGTTTACAGTTACTTATTTTGACTTTGTCAGTATTTTTTTTTTCCTAAATGTTATAGTTTTTTTTTTTTTTTTTTTTCAATTTCAAGTTGTTCGTAACTTGACAACTTCACGACTGTCAATCATTTATGTTGTAGTTAGATTACATTGATTCCTTTCTAGCTTCTACCTCCTAATCTATCGCTTCCACTTCATTCTTTACTGGCTTCCACCTTCTCTTCTCAACTTCCTTTATTCATTATCCCCATCCTTTTAATTCAATATACAGAGAGCTCATGTTTACTTCCACCATTTCCCTCTCATGTGCAAATTTCCTCACATGTAGAATGTAGAGTTTAATCTGACACCTCTGATCTCTCTCATCACTGTTTGCTGTAGTTCCTTTTGGATAAATTGGCTTCCCCAGTCCATTTGTTCCCATATTAGTGACTGTTCTATGAATTTTTTGTCAAACCCCAAATGTATCCAATATATATATATATATATATATATATATATATATATATATATATATATATATATATATATATATATATATATATATATATATATATATATATCACCCCACTGAAATACTGACACCTTAAAAGATCTGAACATCAAGGAAGATTGGCTAATGAACAGCATCCTGTCTCGGAAGCTGAAGTATTTTGGTCATGTCAAGGGAAGGCATGGTGCCAGGAAGGAGGGGCAGGGGCCAACCATGGGCACAGGATATAAGTGACTCCTTGTTTATGAAAGTGCATGAGGCAGGAGAACTGGTGAGAGACCGAGTTTCTTTCAGACAGACTGTGATGAGAGCAAAGGACTGCTACATGATGATGATGGTGTATTTTGATCATAAATAATCATACCCGCTATTTTCCCACAGATAAGAGGAAGCAAAAGTAGAGCCCGTCATGATAAAGTCCTGATCAACTGTCAGTACAGCATGGCAACATTCAGCACACAAGATCGCAAGAGGAGACCCAGAGGAGACAGAAAGTCCCTAGAGATGACCACCCATTTGAAACAGACATTTGACGCTGTAATTCTAACAGAGTTGTATCCAAAGTCTCAGATTGATATTTATGTTGAGGTAGTTCATACTAATTTTCAATGGATTTGTTAACACCTTTGTTTGCTTAGTATTATTGCTGTCTGTCTGTTCCCTCCAGGCTGCTACTACTCTATGTGACTACAAGAGACTCATCTACACAGCTTCTTCTTCTTATCGATAATAATCTACCCAATCAAACTCTTAAATAGTGCTTTTGTTTATAGCCAGGCTGTCAACCTTCTTTATCGTATCGTATATGTCCCTAATATTTCAACTACAGCTATCATTTTCAATGTTTCAACTCACCATTGGGGTTCCAGGACCCCATAATGGGTAAAACAAGAATAAGCCAATGCCTCTCTAACAATCATGTCCTAGGAGTTGGCTAATTGGGACAATCCTTCAAAGTCAGAGTACATCTATCTGAGAGGCAAGGTAGCTGCAGTCTTCATACAAATAAGCCAGATCTGTAAAACAAGAATAAGCCAATGCCTCTCTAACAATCATGTCCTAGAAGTTGGCTAATTGGGACAATCCTTCAAAGTCAGAGTACATCTATCTGAGAGGCAAGGTAGCAGCAGTCTTCATACAAATAAGCCAGATCTGTAAAACAAATGATGATTGTGAAGAAGAAGCAGAACAAATGTAGATCTTCAGCCAGTCAGAAAACATCCAGCTGCTACACTACAACTGCTCCCCATCAACCTGTTAATGAAAGGATGCTCTGATTGGTTCATTTTGAATTCCACATTCTGCGTGTTTATAAAAAAAATGTATTGGCTGTTACTAGTATCATAGAGGCTTTATCGTTCTTTGCCTCAGGTTCTTCAATCTGATGGTGGGAACTATTGTGCCAGTGTGAATGCAGCCACTCTTGCCCTGATAGATGCAGGAATTCCAATGAAGGATTATGTCATTGCTTGCTCAGGCAGCTACATCAAAGACACACCAGTTGTGGACATCAATAACCTGGAAGAGTCCAGTGGAGGAAATGAGGTTATCATGGCAGTCTTGCCTAGATGTGAACAGGTAATGTCAAATGTTATAAAAATATTATATGGCGTTAAGTTGTGTGTGAACTATATAACAGGAATTTCACCTACCATAAAATTCAGCATGTAAGTCGAGTTTTCAAAACTAAGATAGGTTTGGACTTCTGATGAGAATGCTGCAGTATGAATTGCCTGAGAAAGCCACACCGAAGAAATGAAATGAACACAGAGCCAGAGAAAGATAGATCGGCATCGAGAACAGCCTCAAAGAAATGATCAACTGATACGCCACACTGAAGAAATAAAATGAACACAGCCGGAGAAAGATAGATCGGCAACAACGAGAACATCCTTAAAGAAATAATCAACTGATACGCCACACTGAAGAAATATAATAAAAACAGAGAAAGGGAAAGATAGGTCGGCAGCAACGAGAACAGCCTTATAGAAATAATCAACTGATACGCCACACTGAAGAAATATAATAAAAACAGAGAAAGAGAAAGTTAGTTTAGCAGCATCAAGAACAGCCTTTAAAAAAAAGTTATCAACTGACATAACACAATAGAAAGAGCACAGAGAAGATCCTTACATATCCCACCCAAACAGTTCAGTTAATTATATAGAAGAAATGAAAAATAAGAAGATACAATTTCAAAGGCTTTTCTTTGGAACATTGACATGGCTTTTTTTTTTAACAATAATGAACTTATGCACCCAGGTAAACCTGGCATAAAACGGGTACCAGGAAATGTACTGGGAAGTAAGCTGTTGACCATATCGTGCATTGAGTGCCAGTTGGTCTATAAAAATATGAGTCCAGCGTCATATGCCTGGTGTGCTCATGGCTTTGAAATTGCCCTTTATATTTTGTTTACTTATTAGATTGTAATTAGATTGCTTTAGTTGTATTGTTCATTGAAAGATCTTAATCGCACATCAGACATGACCATAAGTGCTCCATTCTTCTTTAAGTGTTTTTAGGCTAACATATCCCATTCTGTTTTGGTTGGTGCAATAATGGGTGCTTCTGCATGGTTTTCTTGAATCCCTGATAACCCAGGTGTCGTATGGCAGTTTTGTCGCGCACCTTTACTTACGGAATATTTTCACAAATCCCTCAGGTGCTCTGAGACAGGAGTGTTTTGAATGGTGGCTCTCGTTCGTCTAGAGGCCTAACCCTCGGTTCAAACTATCCATTCAACCTGTCTCAGGGATGAGGTGACTCGAGCTCTGACTCCACAGGGTTATTATGAACACTTGGGTACCTCTCGGCCAGACGTCCTCATCACTATTTTGTCCCCAGACTGGTAAACAACGTAACACAGTCAAACGAGTAAACAACAGTGAATATGCCAAGACGTGAATACCTTTCTGACTATGACAATTAATTCACCACAGCGACTTAGCTAAGAACAGCAAGACTAGTGAACTATAATTTAACTGTATTAATTACTTCATAACAAGAAAGATTAAAAGTAGCACGAAGAATCAAATGAAAGATTGTTGAATTCTCTAAAGAACAAAGACAGAGAAAGAGTCTTCCTCCTAATCTACGTCTCTTTCCGGTATCATCACAGCTGGGAGGCAGGAGACGGATTATGAAGGCACATCTGGAATCTAGCCGCTATTGGATGTTACTACGACTTATCTGGTTGGATCCAGCAGCTCCTCAGGGTGTCTGAAAGTATAATTCAGTACCGTCTCACTGCACAGAAAGACTCCACCTGGATGATGATACTTCGAGAATTGATTAAGGGCAATCAACTCCCCAGAGATCGGAAGATGTCGGCTTTACATACAGTACACACATTCAGCAAAGGCAGATCACCACACGTCGGTTGCTTCCAGGTGTCGGTTGGTAGAAAATCAAGACTGCTGCATGGACGCTTGCTGGATCTTCAGAAATCCTGAAAAACACAAGGCAACACCCATGAGCGAACCGTACCCAACGCACCTAGTTAATCAATGTCCTTACCACCTCCCCATGCTCAGATATACTTGAGGTTAGTCCAAACCATGAAGGTCGACTACCTACATCTCGGAATCTGTTCCGTTTCCCAGAGTGAGCACTAGAGTCGTACGTACGTTTCCATTAACTCGAATAGTTTCTGAATTCAGTCCTGTAGTGAAAGCCAGACAGATCCCCATTATTTCCCATTCCTTTTAATATACATTTTTCACTAATTGGAAAGATAAGGTATAGGAGATGAATTCAAAACTAAGATCGAAGGAAATATGCTCCGAAAGCAGTACGACAGTCTAAGCTTGTTGTGGTTACGAAGGCTCCTAGCAACAGCGGATATGACGTCATGCCTGACCCGAAGCTCCTTGTCATTCACAACGATTCAGCGACTCACCAAGTTCAGAGACCGAATAACAACAAACAACTAATCATACAAAGTTAACAATACCATAAATACACTCCAGATATGTGGATTGATTGATCCGAAGAGGTTTAGAAGGCCGGTTCGAAGAATTCTCCGAGAAATTTCAGCCTAAAGTGCATTCCAATCCGGAGCTCTATTCGCCGTCCTCCATCGCAAGGATCGCAGACAAACAGATTCGCATTATCAATCTGCTGACCTTACTTACCCACACCACAGACACCGAGCACAAATATTCAATTAAAAGCCTTTAGGAAAACTCACTCATGATAAATGGAAAGAGAATAAAAGCTTGTCTTTTTAACGGTCAAGTGGCACCAAGAAAAGTTTTACGTATGCCCACTTGAACGGACTGCAAAGAAGTGACGTGTGAAACTACAGTCCCTATCTACCGCAGTTGGTGTAGGAATACTGCTCACGTATGCGGTGAAGTGGTCAGACAATTTATTTTAACTAGGCGTAGAAAATGTGTCTTAACGTGTAAATCGACACTAAAAGCCTAAAAGAATCAATATCAGAGTGAATTATAGGGATTTTTCTTATCTGGACTCCCCCACAACAAACGAACTATATAACTACGGTCGGCCTATCCTATATCATAGTTACAATGACGATTTTGGGGGTGTTCAGACTGTGGACCTGCCTAATGCGGTAGGTGTGTGGATTCTGTCATGCGACACCAGGGTATGCAGTCTGTTCAGTGCATAGTCTTAGTCAGTGTTGGTGAGTTGATTAGTATGGAAAGAAGGAATTAATACATTCATTGAGTGTACTCTTTGGGGGTCTCCTTGGCTGAGCAGTTAAACCATTTGCCGGACTATAAATTCTTCTCACAGACTGTACCTTTGGGTTCATGAGTGCAGTTGTTATGGAGGTCTTTGTGAAGCTACCGAATCCCTGCTTTGCGTGGTGCCCTTTGCAGGCTTATGTAATCATGATGCAGATCCTCTGTACATGAAACACTTGTCATTGATTAACCACAGATTGTGTTCTTGGAAATGAACTCCAGACTACACGAGGATCATCTGTCCCCAGTCATGGACCAAATCATGGCAGGCTGCAGGGATATCTTCGCTGTACTTAACCAGAAAGTAAGTGTTTCAACAAGCTGTTTTGCTGGTCATGTTTTTTGTTTTGTTTTTATTTATTATCTGTGAAGTGTGTTGTTTATCATTTCAGAACTTCCGGATCTTATCTGTTTATTGTTAATTCAAGTGGGAAAATATTAAAGGAAGCAGCTCAGAAAATGAGACTAGTTATCAGTCAAGTATTCATTACTTTTTGTCCTTTTCAGGTCGAAATCTTTTGTTATTTGAAGCCCTGCTCTGGTTTTTGCCAGGGGCCGCAATATAGCCAGGCCATAAATATGGCCTAAAGGCTGAACGTGGTTTCTGGGACCTCTCCACAGTGATCCTCACCCACATGGTGGCACATTGTGTCATTGGGTGTTTATCGCTTGTGTGATGTCCTGGTGGGGTAGAAAGTCAGTCAAGACTAAATATATGGTAACAGTGGGAAAGGGAGGAAAAAAAACTTTAACCACATCAGTCAATAAATCAGCATGTCCTTTACAGAATGTCGTTCTTTTCATGGCGTGCCTGAAAGTCTCTCATTTTTCCAGCCATGTGTGCTTTCATTGCCAATGCATCTGCCTCGTTTTCCAGAAACTGCATCCAACATCACCACGGTACTTGTCATGTCTAAATTATATCTGCTGTTAGTACTGGCTCTACCATTGTTTTTTTTTTCTCCAGTTTCCACCAATGACCTGTCTGATCTGGGTGCCTCACCATCAGATCTTTGAGATTCATTTTTGGCTTCCATTTGGAGTTTCTAGGGATCTGTAATGTTGTCTCCCCTTGCTTTCCACAGCCGCATGACTGAGCATCTCAACCTTTGGCAGTCTTTAAGATTGCTAACAGCAGAGGTGTCCGCTTATCCTGACAGACACGCAGTCTTCAGGACTTTGTTAGCTGTACCAAGGTGCAGTTGGGATTTTCCTCGTCATCAGGGCATGAGACCAGATTGGCATTTCCCATCCTCAATGACCACATACAAATAGATAATATAACAATCAAAAGAACAGAAACATACAAGTAGCTAGGTATAAACTTAACTGCTCCAGCATCCTAAGTGAAGAATAAAATCTAGATTACAGTTTGTAAATAATGTATGCCATGCCCTACAACTTAAAATCAAATACTCTGTCTTGATGCCAAGATCACAATATCTAAAACTCTGTGATAAAATTTTTTGTCCTGTATGGCTCTAAAACCTGCAATGTAACTTAAAGAGATTACATTTTATTCTAAACTTTTGACAACAGTATTTCAGTGAATCACACTGGAGCCAGCAACAATGCGAACAATAGAAAATGGAAAGTGAGAAGCAACAATGACATTCCATAATTTGATACTTGGAATCACCAGCAGAAGAGAGAAGGCCAGGAATGGAGATGGCTGGAGGCAGTCGACATCTGCAGCAATGAACTTTGAGGGCTTGAAATGCTGAAGAGAAAGAATTGAATTAAGGTTGACTGTAGCCATAGTGCAAACTTTCCAACATCTTGCCTTGTTCTCCCTCTGCCTCTTCTCCGCTCCAACTTTCCTCTTGTCATCATGGTGTGTGGAGCTTTTGAGGAGTAGAGCACCTATGGTTCGACATGCAATGAGGATAATCTGTCGACTAAAAAAATCTCTACATGCGTTGCATGTTCAGTCCCAGCATAACTTGACCAATGAGTTTTGCTCGGCAGTTTTATGTTCAGTAATTTAGTCTTTTAATACTCTGCAAATTGATATTTACATTATGTATTTACTCCTCAGGTTCAGGAAGAGCTTTGCCAGAAAGCAGCACTGGACAAATTGGTTGATTCTGGATAGTCATGGTTGATTCTGCATGTTCACATTTCTGTGATGTATTTTGTCTCTGTTGATTGATTAACTATCTTTAATTGTCATGTGTACAAATGAATAACAATAGTAGTGGTTAAATGATCGTGGATTTTGGTGACTTTTTCTGAACGTGTGAGAAAAGGGTAGTGTAACAGTGAAGAGATAGATTTGTTGTAACACAAGTGGAATAAAACAAAAGGGTGGTTTAAAGACATGCTTCACTGCTTTGGGTTTTATTCTGTATGGCTGTTTGCAGAGGTGCTAGTATACCACAGAGCGTCACATAAAGCATAAACTCCCTAGCTCTCCACCCCTTCTAGGGATCTCGAAAGCATATGAACTCTTCTTCTTCACCAGCTGCAGACTCCATGGAAACTTCTGGTATATTGCCCACTTCTGGACACAGTCTTGTTCCAGAGCCTAAGTGTTGCGTGAACAGCTGTTTTAAAGATTTGACTTATTTTTATTCAGACCGTTGGTTCCTTGCCTCTCCAGAAGACGCACTCTGACTTCGAAGCAAGCCCCCAGTGAGTCCAGTCCTATGGCATTTTTGCTGGGGAGGCAGTGGGTGTTTTCATGTTTACACCCACAATGATGCCCCAGAAACCACACTAGGAATACTCATGAGCTGGAGATGGGAATCTGAAATAGAACTAACAAAAGTATAGAGCATAGGGGAAGTGGCTGCAGCATAATTAATTAAATGACCCTCTTCAAGCAAACTTGTAAAAACTAAGTAAAAGATTTTTCAGTGCCTTAAAGCTTATTGAGCATATGGTGCCGGTACTGTTTTTTGTTGAGCATTTGATGCTTTGATCACTAACATGCTGGCCACATTTGCTTTCTAGAACAATTCTTCATGCTCGTTTCATGCTTCTTTTCCTGGTAGCTCAAGTCATATTTCTTTTAAACCCAGGAACCTGATGTACAGATTTTAAAAAAGCAAAGAGATGTAAATGGTGGGGTGGGAAAGGGTTGTTAGTGTTTGAGATGCAAGAATACTTTTAGAATAATAATAAATACAATTTTAAAACTTTGAACGATCTTCACCTGAAAATTTAAAACCCATTCAGAATATATATGTTGTGGTTTCTATGCTTTTGTGCTGAATGCAGAATAAGTAAAAGACCCTTCTAAGTCCATTGGCAATCAACTGATTGGTTTATCCTCTCCAGTTTGCTACCGAGATGGAGTGAATAATGAAACTATCAGGCAAATTGTGGGAACGACACCTTGTACTAGATTTACCAAGAAACAGATCAAGTGGTTTGGCCATTTTGTTAGAATGCAGCAAGATCAAATACCATCACAAGCACTACATCTCAGAAGATCAACTACAAGAGCAAGAGGATGGCCAAGGGAAACATAGATCGACAACATTAAAGACACTCTACACCTTCACGGCATGACAATAGCCAGTGGCAGCCAACGTGCACTGGATCGCAAATTATTCTTCCCCACGCCGCTTACCGGCAGAAGTGGTTTATGATGATGAGTTTGTTACCTAATGGTTTGTCATACCATCCTGGGATTGAAACCTCTCATTCTGGATGGTAGGTTCCTGTTCAACCCCCAAAGAAGTTATAATTTAGGCACCCATAGAAGCTACACCAGGCAGGTGTAACCTGCAGTCATGTGCAGGTAAGGGCAAAAACATGGTGCTGGATCCATAATTGTATAGATGGATCATCATACATGCCTCCTTTACTTCCCAGGACATAAATGGTGCCCCTTCTCCTAAAAGTCCATGCCATGTGGCGTTAGTAGTCATGTCTATCCACAAACTTCTGTCTCATAAACTTTTAATCAATTCTGACACAGATTATCCTCCATGCCATGATGTCATAGACTTTCCAGCATCACTTCTCTCGGTCTGCCTCTCCTCCCCTCCAACTTTCCTACCGTCGGATGTACTCCAGTTTTCTCCTTCTCATCATATGACTAAAGAATGTAGACTGTCTCCTTCCAATGTGGGCAATCAGTTCTCTTCGTGAGTCAAGTTTCTTTCAAGACGTCTTCATTAGTCTTTTTATCTGTCCAGAGTATTCTCACCATTTGTCTATAAAACCACATCTCCGCAGCTTTCAAATAAGTTTTCACTAATTTACCAACTGTCCATGATTCACTTCCATATATCAAGATAGGATTTAAATAGGTTTAAAAATTATTTTTCTCGTCTCAATTGACAAAGAAAGATTGCATAAAATATTCTTCATTTTGTAAAATGCTGCCTTTGCTTGAGCTATTCAGCGTTAAACTTCTCTAATACATCTTCCATCTGATGTTGTCAGGGTGCCCAAGTACTTAAACATATCAGCTTGCCTGAGGTTTGTCCCATTTACTTTGATGTTGCATTTTGGAGGGTCAATTCTCTTTGTATTCACCATAATCACCATTACTTCTGTTAGTCAGGCTCAAAATTATCATGTAGCGGGTCTTTTGCAGAACATCACTCTCATTACGGTCTACCTAAAAGTAACTCGGTCTCTCACTAGCTCTCCTGCGCTTTCGTGTCCAAGTGCTCATATCCTGTGCTCATTTTTTGGTTGGTCTGCACCTGCCTCTCCTTTCTGGTGCAATGCCTTCTGCTATTATTTTTTTTTTAATCCACCATAGTTCTCAATATATCCAAAATATTTCAGCTACTGAGAAAAGATGCTGTAACAGCCAGTCTTTCTTGATTTTCAGATCTTTTAGAATGTCAGTACTCAATATTTATTTTCTTCTTTGTCAACTGCATTCTAAGAATCTTTCTATGGCATTTCAACTCAAATACCTCTTGTTTTCTTCCTCAGTGACTCAGAGCACTAATTATAGATCTACATTGATGTCATTTCAAACTAAAGACAGGAGGGCAGGCAAGAGCATAATCATTTG